AACTATCTTCTTTTAACTTCCCATTTACCTTTCTCCTTTGGCATTCTGCTCAAGTTCTCTTAAAGTAAAATGGATCTTTTAGAGCTAGAAAATTACTAAGTTAATGCAGGTTATAACTTTTTAGTTTAGCTCTTTCAGTTATTCATGCTAGCAAAAAAGCACTGGATTAGCACGAACCAAGTTAGTAACAGAGTTTACATTGGGAGTGTGGTTAGTAAAAAAACTACACGAGTATAATAACGTACACTGGCCAGCATACGAGCTCATATGCAGCCCTATTGCTAGCGGGGCGTTCAAGATCTACAGCGTAATAGCAGTATGACTGCAACCCATTAACGTGCTTGCGTAAAATGCAAGGTAAAAATTTTTTTTTGAGTGAAAATGAGTTTTGAACAGGTAAACTGTTAAACTGTTAATTTATAAGCATACATAGATTAGTCTTAGGATTTTCAGGGGGTTAACAGCCAAGAGATACTAAGCTATTATAAGAAAATAAAATAATGGAAGTAGAATAAATATAAACTGCAAAGAAAGTAGTGTTCTCAAGATCAGTCTAGCTAACCGAGTTTGGGGACGAGGAATTAAATGGAGTTGTTTACCAGTGTACTATATATAAGAGGCGATCTTCAGACACAATGTCATATATCGGTGTTAGTGCTTGCATTAAAAAAAACAACCAAGAAACAGATTGACGAACTTGGTGACTTCAAATGGGAGCACAATCAATAAGCGCTGATATTTTGAAAGCTGTTTTAAGTACTCTGTGTAGCGCTAAACGAAAAACTGGAGTTACATGGAGCTTAATAATAAATAGTATTGACGAAAGTTTTATGAGTCTAATTCATCGAATAAATGGCACCGCTTCATTAATATCTCTACTGTAAACCAAAAGAATTTTCGACATGTCTTTATGAAAAAACTTAATATAGTTTCAGAAGGAATGCTGTTGGATCCTGAGGAGGAGCTACTGTGAAGAAATAAAATTTAAGCCAATAAAAAACATAAACTAAAAACAAAAATTTAGTAAAAACCTTGCCAATATAGAATGGTCACAGCAAGTCAGATTATTGGATGAGAAAAATTAACTCAAGTAAAACTCAAAAACCTTAATTAAAATAATTACAAAACACAAGGAAGCTCGTTGGCCAAGATCTCGAAATTCATTTTTTCGGAGTACCCGAAAAATTTTACTATATAAAGAGAGGAGTAACCAAGTATGAAACTAACCTTTTTTAGTATTTCTTCCTTATTTAATTTTAACCAGTGGATGTAAAGAAAGGAAATGACGTACAAATCCGGCAGACAATGTATGGAAAGACTTTGAAAGAGATGTAATATTAAAAGAAGTAATGAAAGAGAGAAGTTAACAATTAATAAATTAGTGACCGGTGCTATTGCTTGGGATCGAACGGTTAAACAGGATATCGTGAACTCTTTCATTGAAGAAAAATTACCTTAAAAGCGAGTAATTTAGGATATTTATATAACTAAAGGAGGGGATGCTATGGAAACACAACGAATGTATTCGCTGCTGTAAAAATAATCATCGTCACAGTAATGATTGTTTTGTTAAAGTGAATGGGTTGAAATGCCTTAGAATGCGAAAGAGCTGGCCACCTTCTAAAATGTTCCGAACAAAACTTATATAATGACACACGCCCTAAAAAGGAATGCAAGCTAGGATTTTATTTTAACATAGGCAATAACCCAGATATAGTGGAAAGATTGAATTAGGAGTCCGGGGCCAGCTATTATATTTTTAATAATTAAAGCTATATCCATGATCTCCAACCTGTGCCTGAGGAAACAGTCGAATAGAGTGCTTGTTTAGTGTTTAAAGGTTTCGGCCGTTTTTGATAGGTATGGCTATGTACGTCCCTGATGCCAATGAACCCAGCGTTATAATGGTCTGGTGACCAGGATCTCATTTAGATATGGATCTTTGTGGAGCATGGTCAGCATCTTTTTTTTTTCCACTCTAAGAAACATGTTAGAACCACTGTTGTCTAATAAAGACAAAGTCAGCTGCTTCCCATGAAAGGGGAAAATTTGAGGATAAAACTTTAATATATATGACTTTGATGACAAATGTATAGACACTGATAAGGGAAAGAATTTGATAAAGAATGTTTTAGAAATGTTTTATCTAAAGAGAAGAATACAACTAACTTTTACAGCCCCTGATAGCCAATCCCATAATCCGTTGGCTGAAAGATTTAAGGACTTATCATAAACAATGACTAAAGCTTTCATTCACAAGGCTAAATTCAAACATGAGTTTTGGGCCGAAACAAGTAACCATGCTGCCTTCATTATTAACGTATTCCCTGGCGCATGGAAACGCTCTCATAAACTGATGCCTAAAGTGGCCGTTTTGACTACTTTTGGGGCTTTTGGTCATGTTCCCTTCTGGAATGTCCTAATTCTCGCAAGGGCATACTTTTAGGACAGGCCCTTGGCACATGCGGTGTTGCATGAGGATTTATGTTCCTATCAGTAAGCAAGATATAAAAGCTAGAAGCTATTAGTTTAACAACTGGAAGAGCGTTGAGAGCGAAAAGAGAGTTACCATAATAAAGCCCTATAGTCCCTGCCAAGTTCACCTAAAAAAATCTCAATCTAAAAACAAAAAGGAATACAGAGCTCTATTTTAAAGTCGGAACTACTAATACAAAATGAAAAGTTACCGAAACAGAGAATGCAAACTTTTTTTTTTTATTAATCTGGCACAAGAATTGAAGTACTGCATGAATTTACAGGCAGAAAAAGAAAAAAAGGTTAAATGGCTTCTAGGGGAGCAGTAAAAACGGTAATTCGTAAAGAAGGAAAAGTTTATTATGATATCACATTTACTGATGAGGACACGGCGCCGATAGAGGGTAATGAGGATGTTTGCTTATTAACATCTACAAGTTATGAGACTCCTAAAATCATAGGCATGAATGCAAACAGATATATTTTCAAGACTTCTCGCGGAACCAAGACAAATGAAGAGTGGATAAGCAAGCCAAGGTGGAGTTTTAAGGGGTTATTTAAGTAACCACCATTCATGGCGTCTTGCTGAGCTTAAAGAAACGACCTCTAGACTGCATTAAAAAACTACGAGGATATAGAGACACCAGTGACCTCACCTATAGAAACTGAGTGGTTTAAGTTAGAGAGCCTTACAAGAAGATAATAACCTTAATTCTTGTATATACATAGTGTGAGGTTCTTATAATAAGGATATGCACTCCATTACTTGGCAGAGTGGACAACTCGTACCTTCAAATTAATGGAGGCAACGGGGGTCGTCTTTCTTGGGGTCGAAAAAGCGAGTTTGGTACACCAGGGCTTGCTTCACAGATTGGCATCATAATCCTTCCTACTATTCTTTTTTGACGTGGTCAAATCTCACCTTAAACACCGAGTATTTGATATATGTGCGGACAGTGATGCGCGCTCACCCCTAAGACGACTAATAGTCGGAGTCCCAAAAGGATATCTTTTTAGCACCCCTACTTGCACTTTATGTACATCACGTGCGACAGTCTGACGACCCCCAACTTGTAGAGAGCCTTATATGTTTATGACACGGCGATTCACTTCTCGTCAGGGTCTCCTGCCTATTGCGTTAATATCTGATGTCATACCTAATGACGCTTGCCAACTGTTGTGTTCTTTAAAAAATTAATATTAATGCGGAAAAGTACAAAGCCCTTTTTTTATCACAAAGAAGGGCACACCATTACCGTCGCTAACCTTTGAAAATAAGGTGTCCTGAGTCGCTGAGGCGATAAACCTGGGAGTCATTAATCGACACTGAAACTCTCGTGGCGGTCGCACGGAAACTATATCGCGGGGAGGATCAAGGCTGTGGTTCAAACTCTTTACTTTTTACTTTGTGCCCGAAGCAAACTCTCGCTGCAATACAAACGACGCTTATATTTGTTATACGAAAACATTTTTGTTCAGAGTTGCAACGATTTAAGCTTGGAAGTTGTTAATGTGGAGGAGAGATTGCGTCGTCTAGTACGTCTTGCAACTTCCATTAAGTCATTAGTTTTTAAACTTGTGCAACTTAATAAAATTTTCTTAAAAATTTGGAAAGTTTTATTGATTTACTTCTTTTTTCTGCTGGCGTACACGTTAAGTTTATCTACAGGATTAGTAAACATTTTTAAATATTTACGCTATTAAAAGTGAAAGAATAGCCACAGTTACCATGCCTGAACGCCTTTGAAGAACAGCTGCAATCAAACCAAAATTTGTTAGTTATAAAACTTTCTCAAGAACAGTTGAACGTGTTTGTTTTGGTTTTTACCCACCCTACAAATACTTATCATTTCAAAAGTCACTTTAAAAAGTTATACTTTAATTGTTTACTGAAATTAAAAAAAAAAGTCTCTGAGGATGCAGTGTCAGGCAGCGTTATCTTAAAGGATATGATAAATATAAATCAGCTATATAGTGAATATTGACGCCATTATTGAGTAGAAGAACTGGAGGAGTTGTAGATTTTAATGTGACTTTAAAAATTCCTAAAAAGAGCACCAGAAACTGTCCCGAGAGAATGGGAGTAGATAATAAAATTTTCAAGAGTACACAGTTGACTTCTTGGGTGATAGCGACAACTTTTACGAAGCTAGGTTGCTTGGAAATTTTTTATGGATGGAAGAAGATAGGCTCGCTTCCTTATAGTAAATGAAGATTTATTCCAACGTTTTGTTGAATTAAAAAAAATTGTGAATAGAGTTAATAAACCTTTTCAAATTCTAACAGCTGAAAGCATGGTTATTGATGTTAGACAACAAAGAATTAAGAAGGAAATATATAAAGCTGTTTTTGCTTGTTAATAACAGTTTAAAAAGAAATTAATTGATTTTTTCTTCAAATCTGGTAATAAAAAATGTTTGAACTCTAAAGACGAATTGGAGCTTATAGGCAAAAATAATCGTTATTTTAACCTTCAAGCTTTTAAGAGTCTAAAATTAAATTTTTCCATCGAAAATTTTTAAAGCTAAAGATGAAGTAATTTTTAATGATAAGGATTTTCTTTCACAAGAAAATATATTTCATAAAGTCAATTTATTATTTTTCCAGAAATGCCTGTAACTTTAGTATAAGAACTTCTCCCGTAAAGAGATATAAACTGCGCTTTCATAACTTAGCGGGTGATAAAATTAATTGCTATAGTAAAATTAAAAAAAAAACTTACCTGGGTAGTTTAAAAGAGGGTCATATCCACCTTATTCAGGGTTTTCTTCTCATTAATTATTATGAACATAATACTCTTTTTGAAAATAAGAAAGCTGAGAGTAAGAGAGGGACTTGATACTGACATTGCTCTCCTCGATACGCTTGGAACGCAACATGCAATAGGAGAGCATGCAGGGAACGGGATCCTTAATGTAAAGGTCCGCGCCTTATTTAGCAGGTCTGGTTCCATTAAATTTATAATGATTTCTGATTAGTCGATAACATTTAATTGCTACAATTTAATTTCTGTTTAAAAAAAAGATTTCAGTACTATTCTGGGGCGACCTGAAAAAACCCCGTTATAATTATTGGATTTTCCCAACTCTTTGCAAAATTTAATCATTAGTATCATATATATATAATCTTTGCATATAAGGGCGGAGTAGCTGCTCAAGAATCATTTAAAGTAGATTTTAAATTGTGACCATTATTTCTAAAAATATTATCCTTTATAAAGAATTCTGCTAACCTTTTACCTTTATTGAAAGTAATGACCATTATATATTCACTAGATATAGAAGCGCGTTATACAACTATTCTAATAGAAAATTTATGAATCTCTGTAGACGTCTTCTAAAAGGCTCTCCAGACCATAAAAATTTATTTTGTACATACTGTGAAGCGATTACTGTTTTGTTACATAACATCTATCTATTTAATAATATCTTATACCGAAGTAAACTGGATTCCTATGGGAAATTCCGCTGCTCCAAATTTTGGCTATTTTATGTTTGGCGTATTATGAAGCTTTAGATATATCTAAGTTCTCTCCATATATTAAGTTGTATAAAGGATATATGGATGATAAATTAATCATATGGGTAAAAAAGGATAAAAAAATGATAAAGTTCAACTTTCGGACTTTTTTAACTAGATGTCAAAATGTACTAAGCCAAACTGGACTTTGCAGATAAACCAGAACAATTCTATTTCCTTTCTAGATTTATTTTTTATTTGGATATACTAATAGAATTGTTCATAAAACGAGTGAAAACGAACCCAACTTATATTTTAATTTTTTCTTACAGCGCACGTCCTCTAAGTACCATAAAAAACCTTAGTGCGACTATAACTCGCAGGAATAAGATTTATGGACGTTTTTTTGAGGAGGATTTTTGGCTTTTTACTAAAAATCTCTACAAAAGAATTCTGAAAAGAGGTTTTTTAAAACCTTTAATGGTTCGTACCGTAAAGAGTTTTTAGAAAAAACTTTATACCACCTCATCAGAGGAATAAATGAAGCATGCAAGTATAAAGATAAAAAAAAGACGTTGTTGTCTTTAAGTTCATATATAACTGATATGTTATTAAAAAGAGATTTTCTTCGTTATATCATCTGTGCTAATGAAACAGAAGATATCTCTGACTCAAAACTCTTAATAGTACACAAACAACCTCCCAAACTAAAAAGCATGGTTTTTACAAAATATTAATTGGTGAATTAGTTGTTGACATGCTTTTATAATTTATTCAATTGGTGAAACAGTTATTTACTTTAATTTTTTGAGGTTTCTTTCCTTCACGAAACCGGAAGTAGTTGTTTTTAATTGGACAAAATAGGATTCATGGCTTGGATCTTGTCCTCACTGCACTGTTTCTGACTTTATTTGAGTATAACAGGGGCAGCTTCTGAGGAAGAGTACCCATTTGAAAGGGAATTGCTTTTTAGCACTCTTTGGCCAAAGCTATACTCAAAAGTAAATTTCATATGTTCAATACTTTTTACTAAAACCTAACCTAGTTAAAAAAAAATTATTTTTTAAAATTTAACATTTCTTGATAACTGTCTTATAATAAAATATTAATTTTTACATCTTATTACTTTAGCAACTTTATTTATTATTTAAAATATATTTTTAACCTATAATCTCTTTTAAAAAGCACAGATAGATAAAGAATTACGTCTTAAAATTAATTTTCTAATATATTTTTGAAATATTAGCACTAAAGCTTACTGAGAAACTCTGAATTTTTTGTGCAACAGATCTTTTAGCAAAGCATTAGTAAAGAAATGAGCACGACTAAAAACTTATTTATTGAACACCATCCATAGAATCAAGAAGGAGCGTTCAATCTGTCAATCCTTACCATGTCTGGACCTGGTGAGTTTCTCCGGGTTGAGTCAATTAAACCGCAGACACCATGCAATTCAATCCTTTTTTAGGGCCTTCGCAGGTGTTGCAAAAAAAAGTTTGAGTCTTGCAACCCCATGAAAAAGGCAGTGTGATATTACATTAACTTCATAAAAGTTAAAATTTTAATAGTTTAGAGATTTTTGCAATAGTTATAAGTAAACAGTTTACTCCTGTTTCTTTATGATGTTACGAACAAATTTTCTTTTTAAATAACATGTTTTTCGATAAACTAATAAACATAACAATTACATTAATTACTGGCTTTACCAAAATTAAAGTAATAAATTTCTAACATAGAAAAACTATATAAGTTCTTGTATTTGAAACAGAAATGAAGCATTTCTCTTTATTATCCTATTCAACAACTTCACTTTGCTTGTTTGCTTGTGACTGATTTTAGCATTTAATAGAGGGTGGAAAAGCTTATTACATTTTTTATCTACCAACATTTCTAATTTTTAAATTAAGAAAAATTCTATTCAATGTATTTAAATGCAAACATAAATGCAAACATAAGAATGAAAATTACTGGACGAGTATACTAAGAATAAATTTAAAGTTCTTTATTTTCTAGCGATGTTAAATATTATGAGAAATCAAACACAACTTTGTTAATTAGAATTATAGTAAAAAAAAATTTTTTTTTTGAGTTTAAGTATTATTTTAACTGTTTTATTAACTAACAAATCTAACTGTAAGTCGTATTAAAATCCGATTTAACTTAATTAAATTATACTTATAAAGGAAAACAACTATACTATTTTTTAAACGAGTTAATTTAACCGTTCTATCTACTAATAAATTTGATTGTTTGTTTTAAAAGATACCATCTAATCTTATTAAAATCTTATACTCAAAGGAAATCAATTGTACTCTTGGAGTTTCTTATGTATAAATTTAAATCTTCATTTACTACTAATAAAATTGGCCCAACTTAATCAATATAGGTACTTATTAAATATAACAGTTATACTATTAAGCTTATTAAGTATTACTTTTACTCTTAATTTAACTATTAAATCTAATGAATTGTTTCAATAAAAATTCAATTTAACCTTGTTCTAATATAATTATAATAGAAAATTATTTGTACTAGTAGTATTTTACTGGTTCAGCTACCATTAAATCTAGTTGTTCGTTTTAAAAAAATTCTACTTAACGTTATTATAACTTAATTAAAAAAAAAAATCTAATATATTATTGGAGATTATAATGTATTTCACTAACCGTTTCATACACTAGAAAAATCCAACTGTTCGTTTAAAAGAAATCAAACTCAATCCTTACAAATTATATAAAAGAATAAAAATTATACTATTAAAATTTAAGTAATAATTTTAACGGTTTAATCCACTAATAAATCTAATTTTGTTTAAAAAAAATTTAACTCAACGTTTTGAAAACGTAGTTACAAAAGAAAACACTTAACTAGCTGAGTTTACTAAGTACTAATTTAACTATTGCATCCATTAACCATGTTAAAAATCATCTTAACATAATCAACTTTTTTAATTTTTTACTACAATAAATGAATTAACTTAGAGTTTATAAAGTATTAATTTAACTATTTCATCTATGGATAAATTTAACTTTTCGTTTTGTTAAAATTTTTTGATTATTAAAAATGTTTAGCTTCGAGTTACAAATATCTTAAAAATTCTTTCTAAAGAAAATTTTGGGAGGTTATATATTCATTAATTAGCAAAATATTTTCTTCTAATAATATATGTAAGGTGTAATAAAGATACCCGACATTCCTTCTACAAAATTAGTCGTTCAAAAACTGCTGCCTTAAATTTACTAATCAACTATAAAATTATAAAAAAAAAAACTTTCAAGAAATTTTATATAAAATTAACAATTAATGGCTAAAAACTTAGTTGTGCGGAGAGTCTATTTTTCCTATTTGTTTTTATAGTACAATCTCGTTACATCCTATTATAATTAAGCTTTATCTTGTAATCAATAAGTAAAAGGGAAGAAGGATCAACACAATTTATTTAAATTTTTTATAACGACTTTTAACGATTGCTTTGTAATCCTATATATTCATGCGTAATTGTGATGTTACAGTACTTTCAACTCTAATGCACTCCTTGTTATGAATGACTAACTGCGATTACGGAAAAGTACAAAAAGCAAGTAGCACACCAATCTATAATCTTAATTAGGGATTTGTTACCAAGACGCCTTTGGTTATTTCAAAAGCATTCTTTAAGCCCGAGTTATAAATAAGATATAAAAAATTTTCTTGGGCAACCTAAGTGATTTAAAAGTATACTAGAGAATTATAAATTACCATTTAACATATTAAATTCATCTGGTCTAAATTACTATTATGGCAAAAGATTTTTACTCAGTCGCATAAAAAAAATTGAAATTAAAAGTCGTGCTCTATAGCACATCATTCGTTTAGAATGTTTTTATATTTTAGTGGAAGTTTAAAAACTTTATATTTCTTCTATTCCTTATATATTAGTTCTAGATGTTTTCCTAAATGCGTAGATATAAAAATTTTTCTGGAGGTAGAAAAATAACATTATTAAATATTATTTTAGAATAGTTAAGTTTTAATACCATTATAAATTATTTAAAAATACATATCAATAACTAAATCAAATTTTTAGAAGCATTTATGCGAACTGCAGGGTTCTTCACATTTTTTAATAACTTGGATAGTTAAGTAGGTGTGGTAAAGTTAGGATTGGATAGTATGCTATGCTACTAAGTAGTAATTGCCTATTTACTGTGTAAGAAAAAAAAAGGTAGTTGTTTATGATAAATAAAAATATAGTTTTAAGTTAATTTTGCCTGTTCTTTGTATTAGGCAACTACCTACTCTTTGAATTTAATTTTCTTTTTTTTTTCTTTTCAGGTGCTTGTACGTCTCTTTTTGGTGTAATGATTTAGACTACCTCATATAACAGTGTTGCACTGATAAAATAAATTTATAGAAATAAAGTTTACTTTAGAATTTATAAATAAAAAGTAAAGATAGTAAAATAAGCAGTACTTAAAAAAAAATATAATTCAAATATTAATTATTATTTAAGTTCAAACTGTATACACAGATGGTGGCCAGTTTGTAATGGATACATGCGAACAGTGATTAGGAATATATTAATCTATAATATTTAATCTAAAAGAAAATGTACTCTCTAGTGCCAGATAAAATTATTAGAAATCTATTTATATTATACACAAGTTTTATAGTTGAATAAAAATTAATACATTAATACTTATAACAGATATATTATAAACTATTTAAGGTTTAATGAAACTAAGTCACCAACTTGTAAAATTACTACTAATTTTTTAAATAGCTAGCTAAAAAGCGCTTTTCATTGAAAACTCGTATAATCACCTCTTAAGTGTTTTTATTATTGACAAATCCACTTAACCTGTACAACATAAGTAGGGAAAAGTTATTTTTTGTTTTATATAAAAAAAAACGCTGAAAACGGTCATTTTTTATGGTTACTAAGTAAACAAACAACTTTTTAAAATAAGAAATTACGTGCCCAAATGTTCACTCTATACGGTCAGAGGTTAATTTAATACAACAATTTCGTTTATGCTAACTCTATAAACTTTTGTTTCTTATATTTGTTTATAAATTCACGTAAATGGACTTTTTAAATTTTTCTTTATTTATGTAATATTTGATTTCTTGGTAATTTTACTTATTAACGCTGCCTAACTTATTTCAAGAATAATCGTACTTTAGCATTTTTTATAAAGAGGAATTAATCACAGCTTGAGTCTGCAATTTACTAAATAGCTTGTATTAAGGGAAAACACAAATATTAGCAATAATTTTTTATCATTAAGAAAAAAATAATTTTGTAAAAAATAGAACTGACGTGTGCAATTACTAAATATCGCGTGTTATATAGAAATACTTTAGTATAATTATCGTTAAATAAAAAATTATGTTAAAGATCATAAAAAATGGACATGAAAATAGTATAATATATGCATATATATAAATGCAGACACACGAAAATAGAAATAGAAATCCTTTTTTCACCAAGTCAATTTATATTCTAATGGTTTAAAAATATAACTAAATTAAAATAAAAATAATTTGGGCAAGTTAGAATATATATATATATATCATCATAAGAATTATTAACGATAAATTTAAAAATCAGGTGAAAGTAAGATTATTAAAAATAGACATGAAAATAGTATAATATAAGCAGATATAAATGCAGATACACGAAAATAACAATGAAAATCTTGTTTTCATGAAGTCATTGCGTATCCTTATAGTTTAAAAAAATAAAAATAAAAATTAAAATAAAAAAATAATTCTCGCAAGCTCGAAGACATGCCATTTCGAGAGCTTTAAATTATCATAAAGACTTCAAGATTATTTAAGGTATTATATCATAGCTATTAGAGTTTAATAATAAACTAAAAACCCTTTTAATACAGTGCGTACCTAAAGTTTTGATAAAAAAATTTTTTAATTTGTATAAAAAATTAACTAAATACTGGATTAAATTCCGCATTTTTTGTTACCATAAAATATATAAAAGGCTTTAACCATCAGTTAATCTACATTTTTACATTCGATGGGTATTAGTTTTGTTCCCATTTCCATATAAAAAAATGTTAACATTTTACTTTAGGTTTTTTCTGTTTAGGTTTCCTGGCAGCTTTATGGCTTACGTTTTGTGTCCCGGCAGGTAACCAACTGCTTTATAACCATCTATATTAACAGGAAACTAATATTGTAATTTAAAAGATGGCATCCCTTTTGAAATGCTTAAGTCTCCATTAGAAAAAGCGAAGACCTTATTGGAGGATATTCTTCGAGACGTAGGTATGCCAATAGATGCCTATCAAGCAAAATATGTTAGTATTCTGTTCGCGAACGAATTAAATAAGAACGTGTGCTACGCCACCATAGAGGATAACCTAGCCCATGCTTTTTTAAAAAACGACTGGGATAGATATGAAACTATTTTATCTATAGACAAATGCGGTGGTGCCAA